TCTTGCCTCAGCCTCCCAAGTGGCTGGGAATACAGGCACCTGCCACAACACCCGGCTATTTTTTGGTTATAGTTGTCATTGTTGTTTGGCAGGCCCAGGCTGGATTTGAACTCACCAGCTCCAGTTTATGTGGCTGGCGCCCTAGCTACTGAGCTACAGCCTAGGCAAAGATTTCTTAAGTACAATACCAAAGGGCAGAGCCTGTGGCTCAGTGAGTAGGATGCCGGCCCCATATACCAAGGGTGGCAGGTTCGAACCTGGCCCCAGCCAAACTGCAACAAAAAAATAGCTGAGCATTGTGGCAGATGCCTGTAGTCCCAACTACTCAGGAGGCTGAGGCAAGAGAATCACCTAAGCCCAAGAGCTGGAGGTTGCTGTGAGCTGTAATGCCATGGCATTCTACCGAGGGCAACAAAGTGAGACTCTGTCTCTAAAAATAAATAAATAAAAATACAATACCAAGAACATGATCCATAGAAGAAGAACATAGACAAATTGGTCCTCATCAAAATGATAAACTTATACCTTGTAAAAGATCTCCAGAAAATGAAAAGACAGGGAGGATGAGTGGAGGGAGAGTGATTGGTTAGACCACGCCTATGGTTCATCCTAAAAGGGTACATTCTCTAAATGTAGAATATAATACATTTATAATATTGTATAATATTGTGTCTTAACACAATAACTAAGAAAATGACATGAAGGCTATGTTAACCAGTTGGATGAAAGTATTTCAAGTTTTATATGGAAACAGCACACTGTACCCCATGATAGTATTAATGTACATTAATGTGGCTATGATTTAATTTTAAAAAAATGAGAATGAAAAGACAAGTCATGCCTGTAATCCTAGCACCCTGGGAGGCTGAGGCAGAAGGATCAATTGAGCTCAAGAGTTCCAGACCAGCCTGAGGAAGAGGGAGACTCCATCGCTACTAAAAATAGAAAAAATAGCCAGATGTTGTGGTGGGTACCTGTAGTTCCAGCTACTCAGGGGGCTGAGACAGGAGGATCACTTGAACCCGAGTTTGAGGTTACTGCAAACTATGATGATGCCATAGCACTGTAGCCTAGCAACAGAATGAGACTCTTGTCTCAAAAACAAAAAGGAAAAGGAAAAGGCAAGTTGGAAAGGAAAGGAAAAGAAAGCCAGAAAGGACAGGAAAGGAAAGCTGGAAAGGACAGGACAGAAAAGCCAGAAAGTAAAGGAAAGGCCACAGACCATAAGAAAATTATCTGCAAATCACATACCTAATGAAAGACTTGCATCCAGAATATGTAAAGTACCCTCAAAACCCAAAGATAAAAAGACAACCCAATTTTAAAATGGGCAAAGAATTTGAAAAGATACTTTACCAAAGATATGAACAGCCAAAAGGCTACTAAAAAAATATCCAATATCACTAGTTAATATGGAAATGTAAATTAAAACAAAAATAGGACACCAACACACACCTAAAAAAGGCTAAAACTAAAGACTAGCCATACCAAGTTTTGAAAATGAGGAGCAGCTGGAACTCTTGCATATTGCAAGTAGAGATGCAGAATGGTGCACCCCTTTGGAAAAAAGCTTGGCGGTTTCTTTAAAAACTACGCATCAATCTACTAAATGACTCAGTCATTCCACTGTTAAGTATTTACCCAAGAGGATGAAAGTATATGTTCACACAGAGACACATACCCAGATGTTCACAGCAACTTTATTTGCAATGGTCAAAATGGAAATAACCAAACAGTCCATCAACCAGTAATGCATAAACAAACTGGGTCCACCCATACGACATTGTACAAGTGAACACTGTTTATTTTCATTCCACAGTGAAAAAGGACAAACTTCTGATACAACTACATAAACTTCAAAAATATTATGGTAAGAAAAAAAGTCAGACACAAAAGTTTACATGTTATATGATTCTATTCACATAAAATTTCTAGCAAAGACAAAACTAGAGAGAATGAAAACAGAATGTCCCAGGGACTGGAGGGGAGATTGAGGTACTGCAGATGGGTTTAGGCCCTAAGTGGTTCTCAACCTTCCTAATGCCACGACCCTTTAACACAGTTCCTCATGTTGTGGTGACGCCCACATATGAGGAGCATTGTCTCAGCTCCTAAGACCATCGGAAATATGTATTTTCTGATGGTCTTAGGCAACTCCTGTGAAAGGGAAAAGGGTCATTTGACCCCCAAAGGGGTCACGACCCACAGGTTGAGAATCACTGGCTTAGGGGAACCCTTTAGGGCAGTGGTTCTCAACCTGTGGGTCGTGACCCACAGGAACTGTATTAAAGGGCCACAGCATTAGGAAGGTTGAGAACCACTGCTTTAGGGCAATGGAAGCATTCTAAAAACCTGGATTGTGGTGATGGGTGCACAACTCAAGAAATGTATTAAAAACTCTATGATAAAAAAACCTCAATGAACTGTTCAATCAAAATGACTGAATTGTATAATATGTAATCAATTATACCACAAAACATCTGTTTAAGAAAAAAGGCCTTGCCCCAGGTTATCAGGGGCAAGTGCTTTTATCTGTCCTTTTTCTGTCATGTCTGTCCTTTTATCTGTCCCTTACTTCCCACCTCATAGCCCATCACCAAGCCCTGGGCATTCTACTACCTGAATGTCTCCCCAAAACTCTGATGTCTCCTGGCTTCTACAGGCCTCCAGTCTTGCCCACACCTGCTGTAGATGGCTGGTCTCTGTTCTGTGGACATGCCTCCCAGGCTTTCCACAGCCACAAGAAGACCAGACTCAGTGCATCTCTCTGCCCACACACCTAAGCTTCAAGGGACCACTCAGCATGCCCAAGAATAAGCAGCACATTTGCTTCAAGGGACCACTCAGCATGCCCAAGAATAAGCAGCACATTTGCCTCCTGGCCTGGCCATCCCTCCCCCACCTACCCCATCCCTGCTCCATTCCACCAGCCCTCCAAAGCCCAACTCACACACCTGGGCCATCAGACCATTCCTCCCAGCACCAACCCAGAGTCCTGAAATGAAGACCAAATACACAGCACACAAGTTATCAACCAACTTTATCATTTATCATATTGACTGAAATTACTGGCTCCTGGAAGATGACCAGAAAAAAACAGTCTGAATATCCTCCTTGGCCAGCAGAGGGTGGTGGGTTTCTTGAGGGGCCAGGATGGGAGGGTCTAGCCTTGCCCAATGGGAAAAGAGCAGGAGGTCACACTCTCTAAGGCAGGTGCTCTTCAGAGAATCCAAAATAACACATAGATATCTACAATTTTTATGCCAATTCAGGCAAAAAATTCAAGTGGATTTCAAGTTCAAATCCACCCATCTCAGGACTTGACTCTGGGGAAAGGGGACCTCCCTCTGACCAAAAGGGTGAATTCTGCCCATTTCTCTGAAGGCAAGACCTTGCTTCAAGTCCTTTAGCCTTGGAGGTGCAGGGATGGGTGGATTTGAACTTGATGGGGATGGGAGGATGGAGCCCAAGGCAAGACCCTCTCTGTGTTTTCTATAGACTCGCCAGGCTCTCTCATCATCTTTAGGCTCCCCAAGACCCAGTCCAGCCCCTCAGGACCCTTGGGACCCAGACACCCACTCTCAGGTTCACTTGAGCCCTGCACCCACCTTCAGCCACCTCAGGGTCCTTCAGCAGCCCCTAGAAAGCCTTGGGCTTTGCCCTCCTCTTTACAGCCCCCAAGACATCCTTAACACCCTCAGATTGCCCATGACCCCTGCTCAGGCCCTGTCTGCCTCCAAAATCCTTTGGTATACCCAGTTTCTCCATGGTTCCATCATGGTCGGGGCTCCCTCGATTTCCCTTCAGACCTCCAAAATCCTCAGGCCCCTTGGCCGCCTGCAAATGCCTCTAGCTTCTGGGGTGCCCAGGCGCCTGTCAGCCACCCCTTCAGCGGCCCTTAGTTTCCCAGTATTCCAGGTCCCGTAAAGTCGTAAAGTCCGCAGTCCCTGCAAAAGACCCTTGAGCTGGCCAGGCCTCTCTCTACCCCTCAGAACCCGCAAAACGTCCCATACGTCCCTAGGCACCCGGACAAGTGCAGGCCCACTCTGAAAGCCAGGTCTCACCTGTTCGGGCGCTCAGGGCCTGGGCCCGCGCCGAACGCGCCGCCGCCGCCAACACCGCCGCCACTGCCGCCGGACTCCGCCATTTTCCCGCCGACGCGCGTTCGAGTGACGGGAGCCGCGCGCGCCGGCCCCGGAGACCTAGACGCGAGGGACGAGGCGGAGCCAGGTCTGCGCAGCGGGGAGCGGGGCCCAGGGACCAGGGGTTGAGAGCGTTCCGGATAAGGAGTGCTCTTGGTCTAAATAAGGGTAGATCGGGTCCAGGCACCTGTCCGCTGAGGGGGCGTGGCCCAGTTAGAAGGGCGGGGTCTGCTCTTTGGTTGGGTGGGACCATGGGGGCCAGGGCGGGGCGGGGGGGGCCCTCAGGGATGGGGAGGGGCCCTGGAGCGAGGGGCGGGGCCAAATGTGAAGAGGGCGTGGGTCTGAGCTAGGAGAGAGTGCTGTCTGTGAACCAGCGGGGCCAGGGTGGGGTAAGGGTAAGAGTGTGCGGGATTGGGGCGCAGGGTCCTGGGGTGAAGTATTGAGCCAAGCATGAAGAGGGGACGGGGGCTCGGCGCCTATGGCTCAACCGGCTAAGGCGCCAGCCACATACACCTGAGCTGGCGGGTTGGAATCCAGCCCGGGCCCGCCAAACAACAATGACGGCCGCAACCAAAAAACAGCCGGGCGTTGTGGCGGGCGCCTGTAGTCCCAGCTACTTGGGAGGCGGAGGCAGAAGAA